ATAATATATATATATATATATATATAATAAGAAGTGATGTAATTACTCATATTAATTGTGATTAACTAAATTATTTTATTAAAATGAGATAACTTATAACAGGATGATTCTAATTACATATTTATATTAATAGTTATTATTATAATTATTAATATTATTGAATGATATCAATTTATTTTATTATTTATAACCTCGTTATTTTTTTTTAGAGAAATCCAATCATTTATTTTGACCCGTATTTCCAACATCTGCATTTAGATTATACAGTAGTTGTAAAAATAAGATATCATAATAAACATATTTTTGAACATTATGTTGTCTTCAATTTAGGGACTATAATCATATCTTTTAAAAATTGACTAAAACTTAAAGCTTGAAAGATGATGATGAAAAATGCATAACATTTAATGCTTCTACATAGCTGATGAAAAAACATAACTAAAAATAAAAATAAAAAAAGAAATGTCCAAGTCTATCAATATATTGTATCAGCAATTATAAATAGCCATGATGCAATCCTATAGACTGCAAACATCTTAAAAAAGTGGACTAAAACTGGATTGTAAGTACAGCAGAAGAAAAGTGTTACTATTAATCCTGCCTGAAAATCGGCCATAAACTCCCACAAATATATTTTCTGAAGAATATATACATTTTTTCTCACCTTTTGTTTCTGTATGATGAGAATACATTTTTTAAACTAGATAATTTTATTAAAAAGTTTAATCGAAAATACATATTTATATATATATATCTATATATATTTTTTATTTTCCGCCCAGGACACATAGTAACTTCAATTCCAGAGAGGTTGGTCAGATGCTGGCGTCCACGATGCTGCGGTTGTTCGATCCGACTATTGAGAATGACCCGGCGCCCCCAGAAGAGACCATGAACCTTATACCGATGTACCACAACAGCAAGGTTCAAGCCGGTATCCTTCCTGGCGGCCTCAACTATCTCAACTTCACAAAGCCAAACCTTAATGAACCGTTAGAGAAGCTAATGGCCCAACAGGACTATGTAAGTATTAGCCACAGCTTTTCTTCGTTGGGGTTTTCGATTATAACGACAGTAAGATTTAGAACATGATCATGTCAGGTATTTACGCATGTGTTTGTAGGACACATGCATATATCTGGCCTTGTTCTGGTTGGACAGTAGTTTAGTTTGATTGACAATCCAGAAAGTTCAATTATAGATATTTAGTACATATTATTTCAAGTGTAATCTATTTGACTTATTTTAGAATGTACTCTCCCTAATAACCACCCCATCTTCGAACATTACAGTACTATTCCATTTATATCTTACTGCCGTCTTACGCGTTGGAATGCATAATGGCAAAATGATTTCCAAACAGCTTTTGGAATTGTACCCATCGGGAATGCAATCAAATAACAAAGTCAGCTAAGCTCCAATCCCACGGGAACTCCTCACGGAACATGTTTAAATTATCACAACTACAACATGATTAATTGAGCAATTCCAATATTGAGGACCGCATTATTCATTCTTGCCATGCACATAAAATATCTTTTCATCAAGATATGCGAATCCTAATTTAAATAGTACATTATTGCTGTACTTTCATAAGCTGTTATATTCGGAATTAAATTTGCAGAAATGTTTTGAGAATGTAATCAGATTTGCGAGCACTGCATTCAATGATGCGAGGACTTTCTAAGAATATGGGACAGGTTGATTTCTAAGTGAATCAAGATAAATACTCTTCTATATTAAACTTAAAGTGAGAACAAAAAAAACCATCCCATATAGTAATCCAGGGAATGGATCTTCTTGATTTTGTATCTCTTTCGTCCGTAAGAACACTTAAACTCGAGTCAATATCCGAGCTAGACACTAATTCAATGTCTTCTCTAATCAATAATACAAATTCAGCATACTTGAGGAATTTATCGCATGCTCTGTCTTTTCTTCAAGAATGCTTGCCGATTTTTTTTTTACGTTTTTGAGCATCAAGCTTTAAAATACTTGAAAATTCAAGATCATCATCAAATACATTTTTGACAGCTACAGCAAGCAAGGAGGTAGAATCCCTGTTCAAATATTTTTTTAAATATTATGTTCACCGCTCTCTATCTTCTAGCAAGGAAAAAAAAAACTGTTTACAATATCTGTGGTCACGAATGCATATATTGACTTTATGTAACATTGATGATGCTACATTAAAAGGTTACAACCTTACATTGATGCATGTGTCATCTTCTCTGACCTGACCTAGTTCATCTTTGACAAACTGTCGTCATCTAGACAAGCATTGTAGCTTGGTTATTCAGCTTTGCGCTATTGGTTTGACAGCTCTTGGTGTGAAAAAAAAAATCCTGCCTGTGATTTCAACAACAGGTTAATGTATTTTCCATACGCTGTTTCTAATCTCCTTCGGTATTTATTCTCATGCTTGGTGACTATTGTGAGATTTCTCAAGGTTTAAATTAACATTCCATGTAATGAATGTGTTGATATATTAGTTTACTCATTTTATAATCAAATTTCTTTTGTGAATATATTTTATTCTTCATAAAATTGGAAATGCATGGTGTGAATATATGCTTTAATTTGTTAGTGTTTCAAAATGTTATTAGTAAACCAGTTGGAAGGGAGGGTGGAGGTTACAAGGAATTCAGAATTATCCCATGCTTGTAACTTTTGTCAAGGAGTTATTTTACCTTTATTTCAAATTTTACAGCCTTTAGTTAATTAAATAACTTTAATTGTCATTTTAATTTTATTGAGGGTCATACTATGTTTTAGTGGGTGGCTGTTGGGGATAAGTTGAGATATATGAAATGATAAGAAGCTTTTCATCCTCATTAAATATTTTTCAAAATAATCAATAATACATTTGTTAGGTTTTGAATGAAAATTGAAATAAAAAATATTTTACTTGAAAATTAATAGGTACATAAATAAAAAACTTATTTAATAAAATGCAGAGAAATTATACCCTTAAATCTGCGGGTTATATATTTAAACATTTTTGTTGACTGATAATTAATTTAAACATTTTTTTTGTAGTAAAATGTATGTAAATAAAGAAATAATAAAAATGAAAACTTACTTTTGCAACTCAGTATTAGAGGGTATATCAAGATTTCACCGCAGGCAGTATATAAACTCTGATCATGTGAGATATATTCAATTTAATTTTAAGTGATTAATTACATTTGGTAATTAATATTTCAAGTGGTTAAATATCCACAAAGTGGAGGAATTAATATAGGTGTACTTGTGAATGTTCTATGTTGTGTGAATATGGAATTTTGTGTATAATGAGGTAATGAGATTCATTAATCCAATGGTGATTGAGATTCATTAAGTATCTAATTATCTTTACTCTATGTTGTCAGCCTGTCTGCAACGGTATGTGTTTTACAGTAAGGGCATACCACTCGGACTACAGTCATTGTGAAAACGATTAAGTAAACACTGTTAAAATATGTGTGCTCTGCGTCTGGTGCAGCAAACAATAATGAGTGCGAAAGAGACTTAGAGTGCTGTCATCATTATCATTAGAGCTGAATCTCCTGGGATTCAAGAGTACATGCTCTCGCCGTTATCACAATCATTTCACTTTTATCATCTAATGAATATTCATGAATTTTTGTTGCCTAGGGACGGGAACTCATCACCGGAACTGTCGATGGTCCCGGATATTTTCGCATTCACCTGAATAAGTACAACAGCATCGAGACGATAACATGTCTTTCGAAAAAGGTTAGTGGATCGCAGATGTCTTTGGGATGTCTCATGGAAATATTTCATCTCTGAACTTGATTAATCTCTGGATCACAAGAAAGTTATATTTGACAGAATTTTATCCAACTTCTACTTTAAAATCCTCCTAACAATTTTAAAAATTATCATTGATTAGTGAAATCATTCATGTTGAATCATTCCATAGAGATTTACAAGGTCACAATATGTGCTGAAAATAATTAGACTGATCATTAATTGCATGTGATACGGGGATGATTTTGTAATTTTCTTCAACAAATAATTGCTCAGAAAGTCTCAAGGCTTGATCCCTTAAGATAAGAAAGTGCAGTTTAAATCAGCATGGATGCCGAGTTAAACAAATTTCAACATAAAATTGGTTTTATTGATGAAATTATACTGATTAATGAGTCTATGGCTTGTTGGTGCAAAAGCGCAGATCAGCAAAGTTACATCATGTACACCAACACATTTTTATCACACCTGTATCGCCTAAAAGCACAATTATAATGACTAGCATAAAATACTAAACTTAATCCTTTAGTTTGATGCTGCGACTCCAATGAATAAGAAGCATAAATTGTAATTTAATCAATAAATTTTTTTATTTTACCTTGAAATGATAACTACTGAGGCATATCCAGGGGTAATTTAGCAATGGACGGGTGATAAAATTTTCGTAATGGGCAGTGGTGTGTGTCTAACATTTTCAATGGGGTTTCAACTGGGGGCGTGAGCTTTTCTTGCGATATGCCTGCACACCCCTCTAGATGTGCAACAGCTAACAAGGATGCATGTTTTAGTGTAATGTAATTTTTATCTCTAAAATTATTGTAATATAAAAAAAATATATGCATTTAACTGTAGGTTATTGACACCAGCAATCTGCTTTGCCTATACAATATTCACGAGCGTTTCCTCAACAACATGGTGTCAAGATTTGACGAGGGACTCATTTCAGATTTCTACAGTTTCTTCCGTGAGACGTGGAGCTTGGCTATCTTCCATGATCGCTTCCCTGACTTCAGACAGGAAGTCCGAGAGCTTCTTGTTCAAAGACCAGTAAGTGATGTCAATATGTAATGATAAATCTGACTTTATCTACCTATGATAATATAATGGGCGAGTTAAGTAGCCGGGCGGTAAGGTAAGATGCCTTTACCTACAGCCTCAACACTGAGTGGAGTTGCTGTGTAGTAAATCCACTGTGAACCATCAATTTAAATGGATGTCTTTCAATTATCATTTTTGTATCCGTTTATTTATGTGGATAATAGCCCTTGATGGCTTTTAGAGTGTGTACATATATTCATACAATATACGCACCACCACAATTCCATATACAGCATTTATTTATTGTTTATCTGCTTTCTTAATATCCAGTCTCATGATGTGATAGCATTAGAAGAGAAGGTGCGTCAGTTGATTGACCAAGACCTGGAGCTAGACAAACAAGACCGAAAGTACTTGACCAACGAGTTTGACGAGGCTGGAAACAAGCGTGCTGTCGAGACGAGACTTCTTAGTTTCCTCAGCTACAACTATTACCACCTGCCAGTGTACGCTAAACCGGGAATGGTCTAAAAAAAATGGCATTGCCGTTTGAGCCATCAACTTGATAATGGAACTTGAAGAAATTTAGGCTTAGAAAATCACTTGGATTTGCCAATCTGTATTTACCCCGACATACATTCCAACAACATGGAAGCATGTGAATGCATTTCACTTAAGTATAATGAACTTGTAAAGATAAATGAGCATAATTTAAAGGATAGGCCGCTGTATAATGATTGCTGATGTGGATCAACACAATGTAAATAGTAAAGCGTGTAGTGCATCGAAGATGGACCGATGCCGAAATCCAATTACAATCATCACGGCACAAGTGATATTCGTTAAGTAGGTTTAATACATGGGGTTATAATTGAATGTAACTTGCAATGGAATGTGTCTTTTTGAAAGTGCAGTACTGTACTGTTAATGTAATATGATTTCATAAATGTCTAAAGTAATGAATTGAGGGAATATCCATTATTTTAAACATTATCACAAGAGTACAAAATATACCCTTCAGGGGGAAATGGGTTGACAGTCTTAATGAAAAAGATAAAATGATTTCAAAATTACAAAAATAATTTTATTATGTACTCTTTCAGAGTGTGGGAGTGTGGGAGGGTTTGGGTCAGCAAAAAAGATGTTTTGTTCTCTCTTGAATATTATGAAAATAATGGATTACCCCTAATAATGTTACCCTGTTGGTGGCATGGAGCACCAAAAATGTTGCAAAGTTCCAAAGGTGTTTTTGTTTTTGGGGAAGGGTTGTCCATTTGCCATTGGAGTCCAGCATAGCTCCATAGCTCCTGGCAAGTGACAAAAGTGACTAGAATATTTATTTAAAAAAAACAAGTTGTGTATGTTTCACTAAAATGTTACAATAGGCCGATGAAATAATATAAGATAATAAATTATAATATAATAAATATATATTTCTGATAGTAAAATATAGAATTTTCAATGTATATACAGTGTGCGTTAAGAATAAAGTTTCTATGAAAATGCAGCAGTCCAACACTTTATTTCATGTCTTGTAATATCTCGTAAGTAGTCAGGTAGGCTTTTTATGTTACATAGTTGAACCATTCCTGCATGGTTGAACGTCTAGGCTTGGAAGACTCTATGTTGATGTTTCACTGTAATTGACTGTATACATAGAGATAGTTTATATGTCTTTACAGGGCTGGCGGAACGTTTTTCAAAGTTGGGGGACTTATAAGATGAATGGAAATATGAATCATGCAGATCTGGAATCAAACCTAGGGGTGGGGGTCAACATTTTTCCCAAAAACGAAAGGGGATCCTTTCTGAAATATACTTGTTTTTCCTGCCGCATTTTTCGTGTCAATAACGCGCCACGTACAAAACTCATCTCTCTTTCTATAGGTTTCACTAGAATTTTCTATATTTGTTTAATTAAATCTCCGAGTGCTATTTCCGGCCACTTAGAGGTGCCATAATCATAGATATTTTTACCTCAGCCCAACCATGGTGGGGCTGAGGTGTTCAAGACCCGTGGTGAATTCAAGGGGGGGGGGGCGTGGTGGGTAGTCGAGCCGACCTGGGGCCCAATAAAAGTTGGAGAGAAAACAAACATAGTTACCAACCGTCTCGCATCGTGCGGGACGGTCCCGCATTATATTTCAAAGTGAACACATGCGTGATCATAAATTTGTGTCAGGTCTAAATTTAGCACAGGTCTATGCGTGATAACGAATTGTCACAAATTCAGGGGGAAATCTATTTAAAATTAGAAGAAATTAATTTTATTAAAGATATAAAAACGGTCATGCAGTTTAAACTTGAGTCAATGCTTAATTCACTGACGCGCTACTAAACATTAATCAGTTTTTTGTTTGTTTAAGTAATGAAATGTTTGTGTACATAGTTAGGGTGCTCAAATTAAACACAATTTATTGAAACTCAAATTGTATGTGGCTTTATTAAAAATATTTTTGTACCCGGTATTGTCAACAAACGCTCCTTAATATCGATTTAAACAGCTTAAAATTTTCAGATCCTCAGGGCACCGCCTCTGGACCCCGGGCCTCCCCCTCCCCCAACAAACTTGTGTACTCACGCATTTGGAATCTTTAAGGTTGGTAACTATGAACAGAACATACAGTAATCTCGATTCTGAAATTAAAACTTTTAAAAGTGAAAATTTGGCAAATTTTCTGCAAAAAAAAAAAAGTTTTGCGTTCTTGTGTCACCTACTGCTGCTTTTAAAAAAGTGATTTCTATTTTTTATTATTCAAAGTCTCGCTTTTCATTTTGGTTTGAAGTTTAGATAGATACGCCACATTTCCAATTGTTTCATATTCATCATTTGCATATTTTATAATATATTTTAACATGATTTTAGTAGCCTTTATTTTTATATGAAATATAAAGTACATGTTCATTAAAATCACTAAAAATTATTTTTTTAAATAAGACAAAAAAAGCAATTTCGCTGTACAATAATACAATAAATAGGCTTAATGTATCCTCGTTGATTGCTTCTGCAGGTAATAACACCAATACCATACGTACTATTGAACCAAATATATTCTAATCACAGACAAAATATAATTACCTGACTCTCTCCCTGACGGGTTCCGGGGTCGACGAGGCTTCTTGTCGGTAATACGCCGGTAACCCTCCGCTGAGTCTGGGCCCGGGCCTTGGTGAAGGCCCGAGCCTTGGCGAGGTTGAGTACTTAGCCTTGCGGCATCGTATGATGATTGCTTGGCGGTGATACTTGACAGGACTAGGCGATTAACAGACTGCAGGGGAGATGCACAGGGAGTCTCGGTCAACTGACAGGCACTTGGGATGGCTATGCTAGGTTCAGTGCATCATCATGGCTTAGGGGTCGCACTGCTTCCTCCCTCCGTTCAGTTGGCTGGGGCCGAGCAAGTAGCTCTATCGTGCATTTAAGTGACCAGCGTACGAGGAACGAAAACTTGAATACTAAAGAACAGAAACACACTACAAACATGGTGTTCACTCGAAAATTAGGGGCACTTTTTTTTAAAATGTTTTTAGATTAGTTTAAAAGATCAAATGAAAACCACATTTTCACATATCCGTGTCATATGGAAATTTTTACTATTTTAATTTTTTTTAAACAAAAATATGATCGTTTTTCCGTAAAAAAATGACAATCGCACAGTTTTCACGATATTTCTATGGTTTTACGAGAAAAAAAAAAAAAAAAAAAAAACTTTTTTCCACCCACCCCTGTATTCAAAATTTTACAATGCGACAGCAAACAATTTTTTTAGGCCTGATAAATGGTGCGATGGTTTGCAGATGATTATGGTTAAGATGATGGTGGTAAATATGATGATGAATAGGTGATGATGATGATGACTTCTGATTTGTACTTAATTTTCTGTATGTGTTCAGATTGTCAATTCAACAATTAATTTTACTTCAGCTTGTTGGGAACTTGAATGGGAATATGAATCATGCAGATCTGAAATCAAACCTAGGGGGTGGGGTCAACATATTTTTGAAAAACGAAAGGGGATCCGGGGGTCCTCCCCAGGAAAATTTTGATTCCTAGAAGGCTGGAAATGAGCTTTTCCGACTTCTGTGGTTTCTTAATTACTTTTAAGTTCTTCAAAATTCAAGGTTTTTCTTGAAAACGGTCAGGTAATTTTTTCACATTGTTATTAGGCCCTATGTGTATATACATACACAGAAAAAGAGTAGTTGCATAGGCCTACGTATTCATTGTTTAATTAAAGGGGGGAGTGGGATTTCTCCCCGGGAAAATTTTGATTCCTAGAAGGCTGGAAAAAAGTTTTGCCGACTTCTGAGGTGTCTTAATTACTTTTTCCTTCTCTTGAAAATGATTTAATGAATCAATGAACCCCAAAGAAAAAGAATAAAAAAAACTCGATTTCTAAAATAGGGGAAATGAGCTTTCCTGACTTCTGAAATGTCTTTTAAATGACTTTATAAATTCATCAAAATTTCAAGGTTTTCCCCTCTTGAAAACGGTCAGGTAAATTTTTATTTTATGTGTGTATACATACATAAATAAATAAGTAGTTGCATGCGTATTCTTTTTTTCATGAATCGATAAATCCCAAAAAGAAAGGGTGGTCCGGGGGCTCTCCCCCGGGAAAATTTTGATTCCTAGATGGCGCGGGAAATGAGCTTTCCCGACTTTGAAGTGTGTTTTAATGACTTTTATGTTCTAATTAAAATTCTAATTTTCTTATTGTAACATAAAAATAAAAAAAATCAGCTCACGTGTCCTGAAAAGGTAGGTTTAGAATTCATTTTTTTTTTTGGCCCAACGGAGGGGGTCAGGACCCATGACCCCCCTCCCAGATCCGCCAATGTGAATTGCGAGAGAATGTAACTCAGTCGGGGACTGGATAAACATTCTCTTTCCTATCCTTCTCCTTCTTCTTTCCTCTTTCTTTTCCTGCATTTCTCTCCGGTCATACTAAAATCTCAAGACATATTTTTTTCTCCAGACATATATTTTTGCGGCCCACCACCCGGTTCCGCCGGCCATGCTTTATACTGACACATTATGCCATTCAAATTAATCCATAGAAAGATGTTCTGTGACCGATTTTCAATATCCTCATAGTTAAGTAATTCAATCATCACGAGCATCTTGATATCAATCTACTCAAATATATTCTATATATGCAAATATATACATTTTTACACATTATATATATACATTATGTATACATATTTCTTATCATTTTTTTTAATATTGATTCTATTATATTTATTATTATTGATTATTATCATTATATGTGTGTGTGTATGTATATATATATATATATATGTGTGTGTGTGTGTATATATATA